CATCAGCTGATTGTTTAATTTATAAGCAATGTTGTTTTAGTATTATATGAAACACATTGCTCCTGGAGTATGTCAGAAATTATACTTAATAGTAAATTGTTGAGCAAAGCAAGTGATGTTTTTTCACTTGGTAAGATATTAAAAACTATAGGTGAGCAGATAATGAATCAGGAACTTCTTTCACTGGGTGAAAAATCCTCTTCATCTTTAGCAAAGTTAAGGCCAACTCTTTTGGGAATTTTCTCAATCTTGCAACCCCTGATGGCTAAAAACAATTAAAACCACCTTAAAGCAATTATTGAACAAAATACATAGCAAACTTTCTTAAGCTATAATAGATTATTATCCGAAAGGTTAATGATAATGGTAAAAGCTGATGTTGCATGCATGGCCATTTGTTTTTATTGTTGTGCATAGATTTTATGCAGTGTAATGAAATTATAATATTCCTAGGAGAATGTATATGTACAAATCAGTAAACAGTCTCAGTTATAAATTATGATGAGGGCAATGTTAAAAGGCTTCACTTAAAAACACAGTCTAGCATGAACTTCTAAGCTGTTAAGATTTCTGTCTTTGGGCAGCTGGTTGTTAAGATTCCTATCTTTTGGCAACCAGTTCAATAGCTATTCTGTGGTAAATATTAGTTTAAATATAATTCATATATGCTAAAAGGAAAAATATAGGCCATTATTTTGTTAAAAAATATGTATTATATATAACTAAAAAACACAGTCTGGCTTTGATTTCTAAGCTGTTAAGATTTCTGTCTTTGGGCAGCTGATTGTTAAGATTTCAATCTTTTGGCAATCAATCATTAGCTATTCTGTGACAATTATATAACAATATATATCTATAATATATAAATTTTGCCTAAAATATAAAAAACCCTCATGAAATGTACCAATGCACCTCATTTCAATGCATCTTGAAACGTCTATCTAAGGGTTATGTTATGTTAAAGTTATGATTACAGCAGCTTTCTGAATATTTGTGGTAGGTAAGAAAGTAATGTCCCTTTTCAGTATTGGCAAACTTTTAAATTTTGTTTGTATTGAGTATGGCTTTGAAATGGCAAACATTTGTACCTACTATAATTAGTGTGTGATGGAGGTAGGATTGATGAAAACCATCATACAATTTATTTATCTACAAGCAGGTACAGTTAGCTGTGTACAAATTAGCTACAATAAACACAATCGTAATCTATTTATATTAATAAAAACAAAAAAAGTGATGAGCCCAGCCGTAAAAGCGTTGGCCTCGCACTATTGTTGTTGTGTTGTGTTGTTTCAGGACTATAGTATGACATAACTCTTGTTATTATTAAATAACTTACCTGATTTTAGCGCCGCCACAAGAATTATTTTGGGGCATCGCGAACATCTTTAACAATTCAAAGTTGAACAGCTTGAACTTCTGTTGAAACCACGCATTTATATATAAGCGCCCTGGTTGAAACCAATTGACATTTGTGCCATGTTATCGTTTTGTAAACAAAGGGAACTGGACAACTTTTGCGAGGAATCATTTAAAGACATTTATTTGTTATTGTTATACGACCTCCGAATTTCGCCATTTATTCGCAATTTCGCCGCAATTCCTTGGCGCAAAAATTGTCACTAACATGTCGAAGAGGAAATTTCCCAAAGGAAATTTCCTACGATTTCCCAACACTGAACTGTTTATATTACGGATGCTTTTGACGATACAGAATCATCAACTTTCTACCCATGTGTTTACGTATCCAAGCAAAAATAAAAGTATTTTTTTTATATATAACTTCTTTTACACAGGTAATAAAAGAAATTGATGGATATTTCTCTTTTTATACAGCTTTTTTACGACTTACGAGGCTACTCAGCGCTCATCGACTGAGGATATACGATACTCGACATCCCTGCGGCAGCAAAAAAATTAATCAAATAAAAATCATCGTGCGTTTGGTAACATTTATTGTCTGTCGCCTAAACAAATCAAGTGCAATTTCAATTTGTGACCGTGATGAGAAGAAATGCTGGATAACAGTTGACACCGGCATTGAACTGAAACAACCTTTAATTGCCTATTCCGTGGTATATAAACGCATTTCCTGCAATATTTACACAATATAACTCGTTGATTATCCAGTATTCATGCGTACAATCACATTTTCTATGCCGAAGTGTGAATACTAGGTCTTGAAAAATATTCACAGAGTATTCGAAGGTATTCTAGGTCAGAATACGCGGTGTGTTTTATTCACAGGTATTCACATCGGAATACCCCCAATATTCCGAGGATATTCACAGTGAATATCTGTGAATACGTGTGAATATGGACCATATTCGAACTCATATTCGCACGTATTCACCTGTGAATACGCGGTTTTTCATGCAGTGTTTCGTAATACAACAACGGCAAAAAGAATGCTGGTTTCTCGAACACATAACCGGCTCTTTCAAGACGTTGAAGCAAATCTGACAATGAAAATTTCGATCGATTTGGTTCACAAACCTTTCTTCATCGTAGCCTTGTATATATGAAGCCATATTTCACGTCGTTCTTGTGTCGTAATAATAAAGCAAGTTCTGTGTTGTTTGTCACTCTGTAGTATAAACCTCGCTGTATAGACTGAATATAGATAATGTGTTCGTTCTTGGAGAAGTCTGTGTTTGTATTTTCTCGAAATCGTTCCCAAAATTATCAGTTTATGAAGACAAATATCTCTTCCTTATAAAGTGTTTGCATAAAATGCATCATTTGCTGTCAGGAATTCCTGGAATTTGCTGCGGTGTTTCCACAAATAAATTAAAAATATCGCGACCTAAGAGAGAGAACTGGGACTGGAGTATAACGCACTGAGCTATGTATGCTAAGTGAATGGGTCAAACTGCATTGTCTAGCATTATGAACCTAGATTTTTCCTAATCGTGTCAGATGATTTTACTCATCAGTGGAAGAATACTGTCAGTTAATAAGTTAACAAAACTATCTGTCAGTGTCTCTTGTTAACCCATTAGCTTGCAATGCACCCAGATGTGACCTACTTTAGTATTTTACTCTGTCTAAGTCAAGTTGAATATTTTCGCGGTGCAATAATATTCCAATCTAAATGAGTTTTCATCAACACACAAATGGTTCAGGATATCTTGTGGATTGATCTACAGCTGTGGTGAATAAGAAAAACGCAACTTCAAAGTGTTCATGAAATTCACTTTCGTTTTGATCAGTGATCACAAAAGGTCGTATAGCGTATCAAGAAAGTGTAGGCACAGAATACCTATCAGACAAACAGCTCCATTGTTTTTTTCATAAGTGGAGTACTGCAAATGGAGGCAATCACCCCCCTGCCAACTGCACTATTTTTAATATGGGCAGGGGGGTGATTCCTTCTATTTACGGTACTTGCTGAGTGAATCTTGGGAATAAGTCACCGCCCTGCCAACAGCCCGACACCGCGGAAATTGGTATAGGCTTAGCCGCAATTCTCGATACTTAGACTTCAAACTTGGTGAGGAAAAAGATTCATAAATATTCAAGAAAATATGTCTTGCACAAAAGATTTGAAGCTTGCTCACGGTAAAAACGAATCGTCTGAATTAATAACCTTGTGTATACTTTAAGCCTCAAAATGGCCATTTCACAGCGGTCAGATGTGTATGATGAGCTGTCAAAAGATTGCAGAATGCGTATTCAGAAGAAAAATTGAACTTTTTTAAGATATTCAAAAGGTTTCTCTTTGATAGGGCGATACAGAAATGCACAATTGTGAACCAGCGATTAGATTTTCGGGTTGAAACGTCTTAAACGCCAATTTCTGCGGTGTCCAACAGCCCCATTTTTAATACTTGCAGGGGGGGTGATTCTTAGAGGTCCAGTAAAGAGGGAGAGTGTTAAAATTGAATAATCAATTTCTTTTTCAGATATAAAATGGATATTTCAGGTGGTCTTGGAAGATCTGCTGGAAAGGTATCCATATTCACAATCTTCTTCTCCATATTCGCAGATATTCACTCCATAATCGTAAATTTTTTTCCCTGTGAAAAACCGTACTTTTTGTGGTGAAATTTTTCAGATATGGCGTGTTGGTCTGATGGGGTTGAACAGTACAAAAGATAATGTAAATCTTGTACTAAAAGCCTTCAAGGACGCGATGGAAAACGTGAAATTACAAAACAATCTGTGAGCAAACTGGAAACAAGAATTTTATTTTATTTGACAAACCAATTTATATTAGTTAATCAGGGTTTTGTTTTAATAAAGAGTAAAACTATCTCTCCAAATCTTGTTATATGTTAAATTTTAAAATATGACTTGGTTTGTGGCAGTCTGACAGACACAGACATCATTTACAGACAGTCTGATATTTAAAATAGGTAACTGAGCTATTTCTCGAGGCAGAGGCTCAGTTAGGATTCTCGGTCTGGGGGACCGGGGCAGAAGAACCCAGGTGAGGTTGTGGCTGAAAACTTTAACTTGTTCTATTAAAATGCGAATTTACACTTTCAAAAGTGCTGACGATGCTGCGATAGTTTTTAATATAAAACTCCATGTTTACTAAATCCTAAATACACGAATTTAATCTTTGGGATTATGTTAGGAATTAGGTTAAGATTATGTTTTTGGTTTATAGTTTATTAGGGTTAAACTTATCCTAAATTTAACCCTAATCCTAACCTAATCTCAAGGATTAAATGGATAATACTGCCGGGATCGAAAACACCAAACATTCCAGTGTAGCGAGAGATCAGATTCCAGTGTTGCGAGAGATCAGAGATTATGTTACGATTTGGGTTAAGATTAGGTTTTAAGTTTATTGTTAAATAGGGATAAACCTAATCCTAAGTTTAACCCTAATCCTAACCTAATCTCAAGGATTAAATGGATTATATTGATTGTCAACTTAGAAAACGCTAAACATTCCAGTGTTCCAAGAGATCAGAAAACTGTCAGGGAGTGAAATTTCAAGGAAAAAAGAGGAAGTTTGTTTTGGTAAGTAGAAGCAACCGTCGTTTTAAACTTTCAATTTTCAAACATTTCTTTTCCAAACTTTCGTTTTGAAGCAAAATATTTTGAATTATTTTATCTCAATTGGAAGGAAATACACGAGCTTTTCTAGCGAAATATGTCGCACGACGTGACCGTAAACTTCAACGGCAAATCATTTAACCTTCGTTTTCAACCATCCTGGACAATCTCTCAACTAAAACGCGAAATTGCTCGCAAGAAAAATGTCAAAACTGCTGGAATTAAAATCATTTTTGCCGGTCGAGAATTACCCGATGAATTAACACTCGGGGTGAGTGATTTTTAGGAAAATATCAAGCTTTTAATGTGATTTATATAACAATTTTCAAAGAAATAACGAAAGCTTTACTGTGAAATGTTGAAATGATTTCATAAATGAGGTTTTTTTTAGTTCGGGATTTTGATGTTTAAAGCGACCATCTTCGTTATAGTAAATCTGAGATAGATTATGATACAGCTTGTCTTGCTTGAGTCAGTCCATCTCAGAATATCACAGTGTCTGAATCTTGATAAAATGATATTTTAAGACATTTTTCAAAGCGATCTTTCTTCACTAAAACCCGACCCAAACTTATGTGAATTCTCACTCATGGACAGTTTCCAGGATTTTTCAGATGATTCTCAAAATTCTCAGATTCTAGCCAGGCTTCAGGTGTCTTGGAATATGGCTCAAAAGTAAAGCAACCAACATTGTCATTGTGAATGTATTTACAAAATAATTCACTGAAATGTGAGATTATTTAGCACTATTACCTCATCAGTGAAATCTTTTTAAATTTCTTTGCAAATACTGGAGAGTTGACTACAATAGATGGTCTGTGCACAGCTGGGCTTTCAAAAAAGAGAGAAATCTGGTTGGCTTTTTTATGGTAGACTGATTTGAAAGCAAGTTTAAGTGAAAGATCTACAAATTTTTACCATTTTAACAAATGCTTGGCTTTTTAAAGTTGCATCAGAAAGTGAAGTTTCAGAACATGAAATATTTGTATTCCTGAAGGTGGTTTTCATTACATTAACTTTGCGTCAGTGCCATGGCTAGACAGCTTAATTGAAGGGTGTATATTCGTACATTCATGTTTACATATGATAGGAACAATAGCTTACAAAAGAAATTTGTTGGGCATAAACAAGTATATGAATGTACGCCTGTAATGGACCTTTCTTATACTGACCTCAAACACGGAAAGCCTGATGTTACACGAAATTTGATTGGCTCCACAAAACTATGAAACCAATGAAACTTTGTGTAACATCAGACTTTCCGCATTTGACGTCATTATGAAAAAGGTCAATTAAGTTTCTCGCTACGGTGCTGCCTGTTCTTTCTTGAGGCGTGTCACAACTGCACCTGCAGATTTGTCTGAAGGCTGTTTCACCCATGCAGGCAAAGTTAACTTAATGAAAAGCAGTCTTTAAATTGCCATCAGTCGACAATGGGTCTGACATTCAGAGATCAGAAACTGTGTTTTTTTCTAGAATGCGGAGATGAACCACAGCGTCATTCATGCTGTTCAGAAATCTGGTCAGATCTCAGTTGATGCAACTTACAATGCGAATGATGGTTTGACGAAAGTGAAACTGACACAGGATGACGAAGATGAAGATGGTGAATCTCAACAATCAGGTGGTTATGAGATTTAATAAAGTCCTCTTTCCTGATAAACCTCTCTCTAGTTAACCCACTATAATAACCTCTTTTTCATGTCTGTTCCTTGTATTGTATCCCTGTCTAATACACCTTTTTTCCGATAACCCTTTCTCTAGTTTGTCCTCTATAAAATATCCTCCTCAAAAGCCATCTCTAATTAACCTTCAAATCACTCTCCATCCCCCTCTCTCATAATGCCCTTCCCTGATATACCTCTTCTCTAATATTCCTCTCTAATTAACCCTCAAATCATTCTCTATTCCCTATCCTGATAGCCCCTCCCTAATGTACCTCTTCTCTTACATCCCTTTATAAATAACCCTCTATAGCCAATCCCCTATACCCTTCCCTACTAGCATACGCCTTTCTAATATGCCTCTTCTCTAAAAACCCTTTTCCTAATTAACCCACCCCACCCTTGTCCATATCCCCTTACCTGGGTGTCGTCTAATACAGTACTGTACCACTTTTCTAATTGTCCATCTCCAATAAACCCCTATCCCCAGCTTGATACCCTTACATTTTTTTCACGGAGAAACCCTGGTTAGGGGTTTCTCTACCCTGCCTTTCCTCCCTAATTTTATTATACTTCTTCCATAAAACCCCACCCTCTCTCTCTAATAAGCCACTCTCTTTCTAATTTGTTTATTGTAAAACTTGCAAGAAACTAACACGAGGAAAATTGCGATGTCAATGTTCAAATTGCAAGGAAGGAAGCTGCTGTAAAAGTTTTTGAATGTCAACAAACATTTCGTTTACACAATATTTATGGTTTCTTGCAAGGGTCCAAATGGTTGGGATGATGTATTGATCAAAGGCTGCATGCAGGGACAATGTGAATCCAATACAAACTGTCAGGGAACAACAGCGGTAAGTTATTCACCTATCAGACCTAAAATACAATAGTGGGTCACATCTAGGTGCATTGCAAGCTAATGGGTTAACAAGAGATACTGACAAATAGTTTTGTTAACTTATTAACTGACAGTACTCTTCCACTGATGAGTAAAATCACCTGAAATTAGACAGAGTAAAATACTAAAGTAGGTCACATCTGGGTGCATTGCAAGCTAGTGGGTTAACAAGAGACACTGACAGATAGTTTTGTTAACTTGTTAACTGACAGTACTCTTCCACTGATGAGTAAAATCATCTGACATTAGACAGGGTAAAATACTAAAGTAGGTTGATCACAAACTTCTTGTTCTCTCAAAGGAATTTTATTTCAAATGTGGGGAACATCATGGTAGAGATGAACAGGCGCCATTATCAATGTTGAAATCTAACATCAGAAATATTCCCTGCATCACATGCTCTGAAACATCGTAAGTTTACCCTTTCATTTTATGTCTCCTCCCAGAAATATTTATGCTTCTAGGAAAGTTGAATTTTTTAATCCAAACAACAGTTAATAGAAACTAATAACTCTGATCCAACATGGTCAATATTTAATCAAATTTTTTTCACTCATGCGCCTACCTATTGCTTGAATTCTTTTATTTAAATTCAATCACAAAAATACAAATCAGTATATGTCTGACAATCAACTTACAATGCTACAATCTATTTTTATAACTTTGTGCAAGTCTTATAGTTCATTTCAATTGTTCATAATATGTTAGGAGTTTTCACTTAATACCTTACATATTGTTCACACAACAACAGCAGTGTGCCAGTATCTTGCTTCAGACATTTCTGGAAGCTCTTCCCAAGAATACCTTTCAAAGTTGAAACCTTCAACTAACTTCAGCTCTCGTCGCTCACCAAACCCTCCAAGGACTACAATGTTGTTTTCAATAACAACTGCAGTACATCCCCTCCTTTTCCGTCTCATTGATGGCAGCATGTGACTTTGTTCTGTCTTGACATTGTAAATGATAACTGTATCTAATGTCTTGGCATGTTTGTCAATGCCACCAATAACAACAATGTTGTCTCCCCATCTCACAGTTGCCATGAGACTCACTTCATACGGTAGTGGTGACAACTGTTTCAGCTCATTCTTCTTTATATCGTACAGTACGACACTGCTGAGGTTGTCTGTGTGTCTGTGAGTTGTTCTTCCACCAACTATCAACAAATTATCATCAAATATTTCCATGCTGTGACATTGTCTTGGTTCTGGCATTCTTGATAAGGTCTTCACAGTATAGGGAGGAACAAGCTGGACTGCTCTGATCAAGTCAGATGAATCGTTTCTCTCTTCACCTCCAGAGACTATCAACTGATCATTATACAGCACACTGCTGTAGAATCTCGACTTATCAGGTAGTTTATCAGGACAGTCACTCCAGTGTGTTGAGAGATCAGGGTTTGGGTCAATATTCATTCTAATCATATCATCAACAATGTTAGGAAAACAGCAACCCCCAGCTATAGTCATATGATTGTTGTAAATAAATGAAGTCGCTCCATAACGTTTCTCTGGCATTGATTGTAATGGCAACCATGTTCTTTGACGCCAGTTAAACATCTCTACAGAGTTAGTCAAATAACCTCCAGCAACAATTATATTTTCCTTATCACCACTTGGTCTATTTATTACTTTTCTTGTGTTTTCTTCTTTCTTGCCCTCCATCGTGATAAGAACGTCCTTTATTTCATCAAAAGCTCTGACCAAAGCTGTTTTCAATCCTTTGACTTCGTTGTTAACCGCTTCGTGTTTTCCTTCCATATTCGCTTTTAAGTCTGCCGTGTTTTTCTCGATATTTGCAACAGTGGCAACGTTTTTCTCCAAATTTGTTATTTTAGTTTCAATTGTTACATTATTCTTCTCGATATTCGCCATTCTTTCCTCCATATCTGCCAAAGTTTTCGTTATTTCTCCGCACGAGTGACACTTCAACTTTCGGAATTCACAGACTTCACTTTCATGGCGAATAAGATCACGCTTGTTGACAATTAAACCACAGCCTTGGTTTGTACAAACGGCTGGTGTATATCCACATGTATCTTCATGGCGGTCAAGATGCTGTAATTCTACAACTTCTTGACAACCTCTGTCGATGTAAACGCAACGAATTTTTGATTCATTCAAAAAATCTTTAACCATTCGCGGTGGTTCGATCAAAGTCTCTACGGTCAGTTCATCAGCACACGTTGGGCATGTTTGAGAATTTTCCAGATGTTTCGTAATACAACAACGGCAAAAAGAATGCTGGTTTCTCGAACACATAACCGGCTCTTTCAAGACGTTGAAGCAAATCTGGCAATGAAAATTTTGATTGATTTTGTCCACAAACCTTTCTTCGTCGTAGCCTTGTATATATGAAGCCATATTTCACGTCGTTCTTGTGTCGTAATAATAAAGCAAGTTCTGTGTTGTTTGTCGCTCTGTAGTATAAACCTCGCTGTATAGACTGAATATAGATACAGTGTTCGTTCTTGAAGAAGTCTGCATGTGTTTGTATTTTCTCAATATATTTCTTGCAAAATTATCTGTTTAGAACAATAGAGAAATATCTCTTCCTTTTAAAGTGTTTAAAGAGTGTTTTGTGGACAGCAATTTGTGGTATAAAAAAATTATGTTAATATTATTGTCTTGTGACAAAAGCTGAGTACCTGTTGTTTATTTAAATACTGACTTGCTATTGGTTGTGTTTATGTTGCTAGGAATTTCTTATTTCATTATATGGAAATGAGTTCAAAGAAAATGATACTTTATACTAAGAAAAATCAATCGTAATAAATAGTTTATAGATAGAGCATATGGTTAAAAACTGCACGATGTGTTCAAATGAAACGGAATATATGTACATTTATTGATTTGTACAGGAAAGGCTATTCAATGTAAAGATATTCATGCACACACTAGTACTTTTTAAATGAAATATGTTTGAAAATATACCGTCGAACAGTGATTTCTACTGCTTATAATTTTCCGCTCCTACGACAATCGAAAAAAGATAAAACACTTCTACAATATTGAAAACGAGGTACTCTTAACTAACTTTTTCAAAGCGCGTATAGATGATGATGGATTTAGGCACAAACTTAATCATACAGTCCCTTTCTCTAGCAAATGAGAGGAGTTTATTTTCATATACAAAATAGTTCCGCTCAATTTTGAAATTTCGGGAGGGTGAATGCGTCTAGCCACTTGCTGAACAAGGGGTTACGCTTTTTTAATCTGAAGTGGGATATCTGGGTATTAATCTGTGATATGGCTACACAGTGTGGATATGAAGATTCAGTTAGGATGACCTCGTTGTTAACCGTTTCAAGTTTTTCTTAAATATCAGCCTGTCTGTAAATGATGTCTGCGTCTGTCAGACTGCCACAGACCAAGTCATATTTTAAAATTTAACAATTAACAAGATTTGGAGAGATAGTTTTACTCTCTATTAAAACAAAACCCGGATTAACTAATATAAATTGGTTTGTCAAGTTTTTGATATTTCAGAAACTCGTCTGATTTATCCGTCTAAATGCGAATTTAAGACGAGTTTCTCGTCCAGAAGGGATTCCCGTTCAAATTAACCGTTTGTTTAGACGGGAAAGTTAGGCGGGAAAATTCTGACGAGAAACCCGTCTGTGGCCTGATTCACATCCGACGAGTTTCCCGTCTAAGATGAGTTTCCAAGAGGAGTTTCCCCTGTAAGACGAGTTTCCTGTTTTCCTTGACCTTGTAAGACGAGTTTCCCGCCTCTAATATGAATTCAACTAAACTAAATTTTAAACTATAATGCATTTCTCGAAACAGAATGAGTAATGAATTTGGTCATTGACTCCCGTCATCCCCCGGGTTAGGTCTAAATGGGAATTTCATGTCGTGCTTTCAAGTAAAGATAAAAATACAATAAAACTAAAAGAAAGTGTAGGCACAGAATACCTATCAGAAGAACAACTCCATAGTTTTTTGCATAAGAGGTTCGTCACTCAGCAGGTACGGTAAATGAAAGCAATCACCCCCCTGCCAACAGATACATTTTTAATACGGGCAGGGGGGTGATTCCTCTCATTAACGGTACTTGCTGATTGATAGACTTTGGAATTTCTACCCCCCCTGCCAACACCTATATTTTTAATACATACAGAGGGGTGATTGAGGTCCAATAAAGAGGGAGTGTTAAAATTGAATAATCAATTTCATTTTCAGGTATAAAATGGATATTTCAGGTGGTCTTGGAAGATCTGCTGGAAAGGTATCCATATTCACAATTTTCTTCTCCATATTCGCAGATATTCGCTCCATAATCGTAAATTTTTCCCCTGTGAAAAACCGTACTTTTTGTTGTGAAATTTTTCAGATATGGCGTGTTGGTCTGATGGGGTTGAACAGTACAAAAGATAATGTAAATCTTGTACTAAAAGCCTGCAAGGACGCGATGGAAAACGTGAAATTACAAAACAATCTGTGAACAAACTTGAAACAAGAATTTTATTTTATTTGACAAACCAATTTATATTAGTTAATCAGGGTTTTGTTTTATTAAAGAGTAAAACTATCTCTCCAAATCTTGTTAATTGTTAAATTTTAAAATATGATTTGGTCTGTGGCAGTCTGACAGACACAGACATCATTTACAGACAGGCTGATATTTAAAATAGGTAACTGAGCTATTTCTTGAGGCAGAGGCTCAGTTAGGATTCTTGGTCTGGGGGACCAGGCAAAAACCCAGTGGGGGGGTGGTTGTGGCTGAAAAACCTATGTGGTAGGGGGGGGGTGAAAAACCTAGGTGGAGGGGATGCAGAAAAGCTTATTTAAAATTTTTTATTTGGTGTTTCATTTTAAACCTTCCTCAATGAAAAAATCTATTTCAAAGATTTGTTATTGTTCTTTAATATAATATTCTAAGAACTGACTCAATTTAAATTTAATCACAAAAATACAAATCAGTATATGTCTGACAATCAACTTAGAATGCTACAATCTATTTCTATAACTTTGTGAAAATCTTATAGTTCATTTCAATTGTTCATAATATGTTAGGAGTTTTCACTTAATACCTTACATATTGTTCACACAACAACAGCAGTGTGCCAGTATCTTGCTTCAGACATTTCTGGAAGTTCTTCCCAAGAATACCTTTCAAAGTTGAAACCTTCAACTGACTTCATCTTTCCTTGCTCACCAGATCCTCCCAGGACTACAATGTTGTTTTCAATAACAACTGCAGTACATCCCCACCTCTTACATCTCATTGATGGCAGCATGTGACTTTGTTCTGTTTTGACATTGTAAATGATAACTGTATCTAATGTCTTGCCATGTTTGTCATCACCACCAATAACAACAATGTTGTCTCCCCATCTCACAGTTGCCATGTGACTCACTTCATACGGCAGTGGTGACAACTGTTTCAACTCATTCTTCTTAATATCATACAGCGTGACACTGCTAAGGTTGTCTTTGGTATAGCCAGTTGTAGTTCCACCAACTATCAACAAATTATCATCAAATAATTCCATGCTGTGACCATGCCTTGGTTCTGGCATTCTTGATAAGGTCTTCACAGTATAGGGAGGAACAAGCTGGACTGCTCTGATCAGGTCAGATGAAACATTTTCATTATCACCTCCAGAGACTATCAACTGATCATTATACAGCACACTGCTGTGGTATTTCAACTTATCAGGTAGTTTAACAGGACAGTCACTCCAGTGTGTTGAGAGATCAGGGTTTGGGTCAATATTCATTCTAATCATATCATCAACAATGCCAGACAAACCACAGAAACCCCCAGCTATAGTCATATCATTGTTATAAATAAATGAAGTCGCTCCCCAACGATCCTTTGGCATTGATTGTAATGGCGACCATGTTCTTTGACGCCAGTTAAACATCTCTACAGACTCATTCAAAAAACCTCCACCAGCAACAATTATATTTTCCTTATCACCACTTGGTCTATTTCCTACTTTTCTTGTTTTTCTTCTTTCTTGCCCTCCATCGTGATAAAAACGTCCTTCATTCATCAAAAGCTCTGACCAAAGCTGTTTTCAATCCATCGACTTTGTTGTTAACCGCTTCGTGTTTTCCTTCCATATCTGCTTTTTATATCTGCCGTGTTTTTCTCGATATTCCGTGCAACATTTCGCTCTAAATTTGTTATTTTAGTTTCAATTGTTATACTATTCCTTCCCTATGTTCTTTTCCATATTCGCCATTCTTTCGTCCATATCTGCCAAGGTTTTCGTTATTTCTCCGCAGGAGTGACACTTCAACTTTCGGAATTCACAGACTTCACTTTCATGGTGAATAAGATCACGCTTGTTGACAATTAAACCACAGCCTTGGTTTGTACAAACGGCTGGTGTATATCCACATGTATCTTCATGGCGGTCAAGATGCTGCACTTCTACAACTTCTTGACAACCTCTGTCGATGTAAACGCAACGAATTTTTGATTCATTTAAAAAATCTTTTACCATTCGTGAAGGTTCGGCCAAAGTCTCTACGGTCAGTTTATCAGCACACGTTGGGCATGTTTGAGAATTTTCCAGATGTTTCGTAATACAACAACGGCAAAAAGAATGCTGGTTTCTCGAACACATAACCGGCTCTTTCAAGACGTTGAAGCAAATCTGACAATGAAAATTTTGATTTATTTTGTCCACAAACCTTTCTTCATCGTAACCTTGTATATATGAAGCCATATTTACGTCGTTCTTGTGTCGTAATAATAAAGCAAGTTCTGTGTTGTGTTGTCGCTCTGTAGTATAAACCTCGCTGTATAGACTGAAATATAGATACAGTGTTCGTTCTTGGAGAAGTCGGTGTTTGTATTTTCTCGAAATCTTCTCCAAAATGATCAGTTTATGAAGACAAATATCTTTTCCTTATAAAGTATTTGCATAAGACGCGTCCTCTCCTGTCAGGACTCAGGAATTCCTGGAATTTGATGCGGTGTTTCCAAAAATGAATTTGAAAATGTTACGAGCTGACGGAGAGAGCTGGAGCCAAATGAAACCTTTTTCTGATATTTTCAGTAGATTTTAGAGAAATGTTATTTTGCAGTAATTTAAGTCGACTCTAAAAGCTTTAACTTGTTCTATTAAAATGCGAATTTACACTTTCAAAAGTGCTGACGATGCTGCGATAGTTTTTAATATAAAACTCCATGTTCACTAAATCCTAAATACACGAATTTAATCTTTGGGATTATCTTAGGAATTGGGTTAAGATTATGTTTTAGGTTTATAGTTTAATAGGGTGAGACTCATTCCTAATTTTAACCCTAATCCTAACCTAATCTTAAGGATTAAATGGAATTATATTGATTGTCAACTTCGAAAACGCTAAACATTCCAGTGTTCCAAGAGATCAGAAAACTGCAAGGGAGTGAAATTTCAAGGAAAAAAGAGGAAGTTTGTTTTGGCAGTTAATGAGTTAAAAAAACTATCCGTCAGACTAATTTATTATTTGTTATTTGAGATTATGTTACGATTTGGGTTAAGATTAGGTCCTATGTTTATTGTTAAATAGGGTTAAACCTAATCCTAAATTTAACCCTAATCCTAACCTAATCTCTGGAATTATATTGATTGCCAACATAGAAAACGCTGAACATTCCAGTGTTCCAAGAGATCAGAAAACTGCTAGGGAGTGAAATTTCAAGGGAAAAAGAGGAAGTTTGTTTTGGTAAGTGGAAGCAACCGTCGTTTTAAACTTTCAATTTTCAAACATTTCTTTTCCAAACTTTCGTTTTGAAGCAAAATATTTTGAATTATTTTCTCTCAATTGCAAGGAAATACACGAGCTTTTCTAGCGAAATATGTCGCACGACGTGACCGTAAACTTCAACGGCAAATCATTTAACCTTCGTTTTCAACCATCCTGGACAATCGCTCAACTAAAACGGGAAATTGCTCGCAAGAAAAATGTCAAAACTGCTGGAATTAAAATCATTTTTGCCGGTCGAGAATTACCCGATGAATTAACACTCGGGGTGAGTGATTTTTAGGAAAATATCAAGCTTTTAATGTGATTTATATAACAATTTTCAAAGAAATAACGAAAGCTTTACTGTGAAATGTTTAAATGATTTCATAAATGAGGTTTTTTTTAGTTCGGGATTTTGATGTTTAAAGCGAGCATCTTCGTTATAGTAAATCTGAGATAGATTATGATACAGCTTGTCTTGCTTGAGTCAGTCCATCTCAGAATATCACAGTGTCTGAATCTTGATAAAATGATATTTTAAGACATTTTTCAAAGCCATCTTTCTCCACTAAAACCTGACCCAAACTTATGTGAATTTTCACTCATGGACAGTTTCCAGGATTTTTCAGATGATTCTCAAAATTCTCAGTCTTTAAATTGCCATCAGTCCACGATGAGTCTGGCATTCAGAGATCTGAAACTGTGTTTTATAGAATGCAGAGATGAACCACAGCGTCATTCATGCTGTTCAGAAATCTGGTCAGATCTCAGTTGATGCAACTTACAATGCGAATGATGGTTTGACGAAAGTGAAACTGACACAGGATGACAAAGATGAAGATGGTGAATCTCAACAATCAGGTGGTGACGAGATCTTTCATAAACCTCTCAATGGTGTGACCCCACCCTGTTTAATCCCCTTCCTAATTTTACACCCTCAATAAATACCTCCAATATGTTCCCACTATGTTCACCCTCGTTCCTCTCCCTTTCTGATATGACCTGATTTAATAAACCTCTTTCCTGATAAACCTCTCTCTAGTTAATCCACTATAATAACATCTTTTTCATGTCTGTTCCTTGTATTGTATTCCTGTCTAATACACGTCTTTTGTAATAACCCTTTCTCTAGTTTGTCCTCTATAAAATATCCTTCTCAACAGCCATCTCTAATTAACCCTCAAATCACTTCTATTCCTCTCTGTCACAATGCCCTTCCCTAATGTACCTCTTCTCTAATATTCCTCTCTAATTAACCCTCAAATCATTCTCTATTCCCTTCCCTAATAGTATGCCCCTCCCTAATGTACCTCTTAGAACTCTTATATCCCTCTCTAATTAACCCTCTATAGCCAATCCCCTATACCCTTCCCTACTAGCATGCCCCTTTCTAATATGCCTCCTCTCTAAAAACTCTTTTTCCAATTAACTCACCCCACCCTTGCCCATACCCCCTTACCTGAATACCCTTGCATTTTCCTCATGGAGAAACCTGGGTAGGGGGTTCTCTACCCTGCCTTTCCCCCTAATCTTATTATACTTTATCCATAAAGCCCCACCCTCTCTCTCTCTAAAAAGCCCCTCTCTCTCTAATAGCCCCTCCCTCTCTCAAATAAGCCCCTCTCTCTCTAATAAGCCCCTCTCTCTCTAATAGGCCTCTCTCTCAAATAAGCCCATTTCTCTCTAATAGGCCTCTCTCTCAAATAAGCCCCTCTCTCTCTAATAAGTCCCTCTCTCTCTAATAGGCCTCTCTCTCTAATAAGCCCCTCTCTCTCTAATAGGCCTCTCTCTCTAATAAGCCCCTCTCTCTCTAATAGGCCTCTCTCTCTAATAAGCCCCTTTCTCTTTAATATTAATAATCTCTTTCTAATAAGCTCATCTCTCTACACCAGGGCTTCTTTAATAATCCAAACTTTTCATCCTCTCTCATCTCAGGCAAGCAAAGTTTCTTCTTTGTTTATTGTAAAACTTGCAAGAAACTAACACGAGGAAAATTGCGATGTCGATGTTCAAATTGCAAGGAAGGAAGCTTTGTTCTATCACAGGTATTTACTCTTTGCTTATAAACAACTTGTAAAAAACCACAGCAGATTTATGTACAACTTTGTAAATTAAATGTTGACATTGTTTCAACTTGTTTACAAGCTTGCTGTGAAAGCTTTTGAATGTCAACAAATATCTTGTTTACACAATATTTATGGTTTCTTGCAAGGGTCCAAATGGTTGGGATGATGTATTGATCAAAGGCCGCTTGCAGGGACAATGTGAATCCAATACAAACTGTCATGGAAAAACAGCTGTAAGACCTATCAGACCTAAAATACAATAGTGGGCCACATCTGGGGGCATTGCAATCTAATGGGTTAACAAGAGACACTGACAGATAGTTTTGCTAACTTATTAACTGACAGTACTCTTCCACTGATGAGTAAAATCATCTGACATTAGACAGAGTAAAATACTAAAGTAGGTCACATCTGGGTGCATTGCAAGCTAATGGGTTAACAAGAGACACTGACAGATAGTTTTGTTAACTTATTAACTGACAGTACTCTTCCACTGATGAGTAAAATCATCTGGCATTAGGCAGAGTAAAATACTAAAGTAGGTCACATCTGGGTGCATTGCAAGCTAATGGGTTAACAAGAGACACTGACAGAATGTTTTGTTAACTTATTAACTGACAGTACTCTTCCACTGATGAGTAAAATCATCTGACATTAGACAGATTAAAATACTAAAGTAGGTCGATCACAAACTTTTTGTTCTTTCAAAGGAATTTTATTTCAAATGTGGAGAACATCATGGTAGAGATGAACAAACGCCATTATCAATGTTGAAATCTAACATCAGAAATATTCCCTGCATCACATGCTCTGAAACATCGTAAGTTTACCCTTTCATTTTATGTCTCCTCCCAGAAATATTTATGCTTCTAGGAAAGTTGAATTTTTTAAATCCAAACCGCAGTTAATAGAAACTAATAACTCTGATCCAACATGGTCAATATTTAATCAAATTTTTTTTACTCATGCACCTACCTATTGTTTGAATTCTTTTATTTGATGTTTCATTTTAAACCTTCCTGAATGGAAATATCTATTTCATACATTTGTCATTGTTCTTTAATATATAACTCCAAGAACTGACTCAATTTAAATTCAGTTACAAAAATACAAATCAGTATATGTCTGACAATCAACTTAGAATCCTACAATCTATTTCTATAACTTTGTGAAAATCTTATAGTTCATTTCAATTGTTCATAATATGTTAGGAGTTTTCACTTAATACCTTACATATTGTTCACACAACAACAGCAGTGTGTATCCATTTTGCTTCAGACAATTCTGGAAGTTCTTCCCAAGAATACCTTTCAAAGTTGAAACCTTCAACTGACGTTTGCATTGCTTGCTCACTCTCCCCTCCCAGGACTACAATGTTGTTTTCAATAACAACTGCAGTACATCCCCACCTCTTACATCTCATTGATGGCAGCATGTGACTTTGTTCTGTCTTCACATTGTAAATGATAACTTTATCTAATAACTTGCCATGTTTGTCAATACCACCAATAACAACAATGTTGTCTCCCCATCTCACAGTTGCCATGTGACTCACTTCATACGGTAGTGGTGACAACTGTTTCAGCTCATTCTTCTTTATATCGTACAGTACGACACTGGTAAGGTTGCCTTTGTAACTGCTAATTGTACTTCCACCAACTATCAACAAATTATCATCAAATATTTCCATGCTGTGACATTGTCTTGGTTCTGGCATTCTTGATAAGGTCTTCACAGTATAGGGAGGAACAAGCTGGACTGCTCTGATCAAGTCAGATGAACCATTTCCATTATCACCTCCAGAGACTATCAACTCATCATTATACACCACACTGCTGTGGAATATTAATTTATCAGGTAGTTTAACAGGACAGTCACTCCAGTCTGTTGAGAGATCAGGGTTTGGGTCAATATTCATTCTAATCATATCATCAACAATGCCAGACCCACCACACCAACCCCCAGCTATAGTCATATGATTGTTATAAATAAATGAAGTCGCTCCACAACGATTCTCTGGCATTGATTGTAATGGCGACCATGTTCTTTGACGCCAGTTAAACATCTCTACAGAGTTAGTTCCATAACTTCCAGCAACAATTATATTTTCCTTATCACCACTTGGTCTATTTGTTACTTTTCTTGTGTTTTCTTCTATCTTGCCCTCCATCGTGATAAGAACGTCCTTTATTTCATTAAAAGCTTTGACCAAAGCTGTTTTCAATCCATCGACTTTGTTGTTAACCGCTTCGTGTTTTCCTTCCATATCCGCTTTTATATCTGCCGTGTTTTTGTCTATTTTTCTGTCTAAATTTGTTATTTTAATTTCAACTGTTGTATTATTCTTCTCGATATTATTCTCGATATTCGCCATTCTTTCCTCCATATCTGCCAAAGTTTTGGTTATTTCTCCGCACGAGTGACACTTCAACTTTCGAAATTCACAGACTTCACTTTCATGGTGAATAAGATCACGCTTGTTGACAATTAAACCACAGCCTTGGTTTGTACACACGGCTGGTGTATATCCACATGTATTTTCATGGCGGTCAAGATGCTGTAATTCTACAACTTCTTGACAACCTCTGTCGATGTAAACGCAACGAATTTTCGATTCATTCAAGAAATCTTTAACCATTCGCGGTGCTTCGGCCAAAGTCTCTACGGTCAGTTCATCAGCACACGTTGGGCATGTTTGAGAATTTTCCAGATGTTTCGTAATACAACAACGGCAAAAAGAATGCTGGTTTCTCGAACACATAACCGGCTCTTTCAAGACGTTGAAGCAAATCTGACAATGAAAATTTTGATTGATTTTGTCCACAAACCTTTCTTCATCGTAGCCTTGTATATATGAAGCCATATTTCACGTCGTTCTTGTGTGGTAATAATAAAGCAAGCTCTGTGTTGTTTGTCGCTCTGTAGTTTAAACCTCGCTGTATAGACTGAATATAGATACAGTGTTCGTTCTTGGACAAGTCTGTGTTTGTATTTTCTCGCAATCTTCTGGAAAATGATATTGTCGTTTTGATCACAAAAGATCGTATAGCGTATCAAAATATTCATGAATATTAAGTGTTGTGTTTTTTGAAACATCCTGTATAAGTGCGGTCAATATATCGATGAAAAGCCATTTCAAGCTAGAAGATTAAATTTTAGCAGATCAAAGATGTTTGGAGTTGTTAAGATCGTTGTTATATTCCTAGTCTTTGCAGGTACTGGAATACATATTGTGATATATATCTTTGTTCATAGAATTCTCAAGTATCACTTCGTTATTTTTCCTCGTATTTTTCTGGATTTATTTTTCTAGATAATGCGGTTGAATGTTTTAAACTTGGTCAGCTTTGCAGCTCAAATGGTAGAAATTCAATCCGTGAATGTGACAGTCAGGGTTGTGGTGATTTCGGAACACCAAGGTAAGACCAGATGTAAGCTTGTGGCAACACAGCGAATCGATAATATTCTTATAATCTTACAAAACAATTAAATTAACGTGAATTTATCATTATACAGAGGCTCTCGTACACACAATGGTGTCGACATAATTTGCAAACCAGGGAGTTCTGTCATGACACCATTTGCTGCGAAGATCTGACGAAAATCACGTTCTTATTCAAACAACAACAAACCATATAACAATGGATTGTATATTCAAGGAAGCGGAGAAGCCGAAGGTATCATCTCTCTCACATTAACAACCAAATTCATATTAGGCACGGGAAATTCATCTTAGAAAGGAAAGTTGATTGTAAAAACCCGTCTTAATATGACTTGGAATGGATGTAAAATTTACACGTGTGATGGGTCGGGTAATGCTAAAAAGGGTATCGTGATTATTACGATAATAATTTTGTTTATTTTCTCAGTTAAGCGCGCCTCACACGAGAACTGGTAGCTGAGGTAAAGACCTCGCTAGGCTGTTAGCTCAGCAAGTTACTCTCGTGTGCGGATAGTTTTTCGTGTGGAATTCGCCTCGAGAGGCAAGTTTCTATCGTGTGCGGATAGTTTTCAGGCTGAGTTAACTGCGTTGCGAGGTCGTTAGCTCAGCTGATAGCTCTCTTGTGCGGCGGGCTTTACCCTTGTTCCGTCCTTGACCGTGTTGATATTTCAGAAACTCGTCTGATTTATCCGTCTAAATGCGAATTTAAGACGAGTTTGTCGTCCAGAAGGGATTCCCGTTCAAATTAACCGTTTGTTTACACGGGAAAATTAGGCGGGAAAATTCTGACGAGAAACCCGTCTGTGGCCTGATTCACATCAGACGAGTTTCCCGTCTGAGATGAGTTTCCAAGAGGAGTTTCCCCTGTGAAACGAGTTTCCTGTTTTTCTTGACCTTGTAAGACGAGTTTCCCGCCTCTAATATGAATTCGGCTAAAGTAAATTTTAAACTATAATGTATTTCTCGAAACAAAATCAGTTTTCCACGGCAATTTAAAAGACAATCTGACTATTTCACTTGTAAACAATTTCTCTCTTTCGCTTTCATTATCTTCAACAATAAAGCCATAAATATTAAAATGAAATATGGAAGGTTCATCGTTGCATGACTTGAGAACAACCTCGTAGACCCGTGTATTGCACTAGAGTAATTAACTTCATTCATTTTTTATAGGTTTTAGTGCAAAGATATTTTATTTCACGCCTTCGAAGTCTTCAGGCTTCGCTGATGAAGGTTCAGTGTTAGGAAAATCGTAGGAAATTCCTTACTCAGGAATAACACAGCATTTGCATTTACAATTTTATAAGAATGGTTTAATCGTAAACCCAAAAGACTATTTGTAATAATAGTTGTTGTATTGGTAAAATGGAGCATGGTTTTGTAGTTATTTCTACCGTATTTGGTTTTATTTGCACGAAAATGTCATTGTATTTTGCAAAAGTCAATTTAATTGTATATATACTACCATTAGTAATGAATTTGATGATTGTACTTCCTTCACCCCCCGGGTTAGGTCTAAATGGTAATTTCATGTCGTTCTCTCAAGTAAAGATAAAAATACAATAAAAATAAAAGAAAGTGTAGGCACAGAATACCTATCAGAAGAACAACTCCATAGTTTTTTGCATAAGTGATTCCCTCATTCAGCAAGTGCTCCATTTTTAATATGGTCAGGGGGTAGTTCCTTCCATTAACGGTACTTGCTGAGTGATGAATCTTGGGAAAGAGTCCCCCCGCTGCTAACAGCTGCATTTTTAAGACTTGCAGGGGGGTGATCCATAGAGGTCCAATAAAGAGGGAGAGTGTTAAAATTGAATAATCAATTTCTTTTTCAGATATAAAATGGATATTTCAGGTGGTCTTGGAAGATCTGCTGGAAAGGTATCCATATTCACAATTTCTTCTTCATATTCGCAGTTATTCCCTCCATAATCGGAAATTTTTTTTTCCCTCTTAAAAGCATACTTTTTGTCCTGAAAATTTTCAGATATGGCGTGTTGGTCTGATGGGGTTGAACAGTACAAAAGATAATGTAAATCTTGTACTAAAAGCCTTCAAGGACGCGATGGAAAACGTGAAATTACAAAACAATCTGTGAGCAAACTTGAAACAAGAATTTTATTTTAGTTGACAAACCAATTTATATTAGTTAATCAGGGTTTTGTTTTAATAAAGAGTAAAACTATCTCTCCAAATCTTGTTAATTGTTAAATTTTAAAATATGACTCGGTTTGTGGCAGTCTGACAGACACAGACATTATTTACAGACAGGCTGATATTTAAAATAGGTAACTGAGCTATTTCTTGAGGCAGAGGCTCAGTTAGGATTTTTGGTCTGGGGGACCAGGGCAGAAGAACCTAGGTGGGGAGGGGTGGGGTTGTGGCTAAAAAACCTAGGTGGGAGGGGAGGGGCTGAAAAAAGCTAGATGGAGTGGGTGCAGAAAAGCTTATTTCAAATTTTTTATTTTGTGTTTCATTTTAGACCTTCCAGAATGAAAATATCTATTTCAAACATTTATTATTGTTCTAAGAACTGACTTAATTTAAATTCAATCACAAAAATACAAATCAGTATATGTCTTACAATCAACTTAGAATGCTACAAACTATTTCTATAACTTTGTGAAAATCTTATAGTTCATTTCAATTGTTCATAATATGTTAGGAGTTTTCACTTAATATTACCTTACATATTGTTCACACAACAACAGCAGTGGGCCACAATCTTGCTTCAGACATTTCTGGAAGTTCTTCCCAAAAATACTTTTCAAAGTTGAAACCTTCAACTGACTTCAGGTTTCCTTCCTCACCATCCTCTCCCAGGACTACAATGTTGTTTTCAATAACAACTGCAGCACATCCCCACCTCTTACATCTCATTGATGGCAACATGTGACTTTGTTCTGTCTTGACATTGTAAATGATAACTGTATCTAATGTCTTGCCATGTTTGTCATCGCCACCAATAACAACAATGTTGTCTCCCCATCTCACAGTTGCCATGTGACTCACTTCATACTGCAGTGGTGACAACTGTTTCAGCTCATTCTTCTTTATATCGTACAGTACGACACTGCTAAGGTTGCCTTTGTAACTGCTAATTGTACTTCCACCAACTATCACTAAATTATCATCAAATATTTCCATGCTGTGACCTTGTCTTGGTTCTGGCATTCTTGATAAGGTCTTCACAGTATAGGGAGGAACAAGCTGGACTGATCTGATCAAGTCAGATGAACCATTTTCAATATCACCTCCAGAGACCATCAACTGATCATTATACAGCACACTGCTGTGGAATCTCAACTTATCAGGTAGTTTAACAGGACAGTCACTCCAGTGTGTTGAGAGATCAGGGTTTGGGTCAATATTCATTCTAATCATATCATCAACAATGACATCACAGTAACCCCCAGCTATAGTCATATGATTGTTATAAATAAATGAAGTCGCTCCAAAACGATCCTTTGGCATTGATTGTAATGGCGACCATGTTCTTTGACGCCAGTTAAACATCTCTACAGAGTTAGTTACTACATCTCCAGCAACAATTATATTTTCCTTATCACCACTTGGTCTATTTCTTACTTTTCTTGTGTTTTCTTCTTTCTTGCCCTCCATCGTGATAAGAACGTCCTTTATTTCATCAAAAGCTCTGACCAAAGCTGTTTTCAATCCATCGACTTTGTTGTTAACCGCTTCGAGTTTTCCTTCCATATCTGCTTTTATATTTGCTTTTAAATCTGCCGTGTTTTTCTCCATATTATTCGCAACAGTGGCAACATTTTTCTCTAAATTTGTTATTTTAGTTTCAATGTTATTTGTTACCATATTCTTCTCGATATTCGCCATTCTTTCCTCCATATCTGCCAAAGTTTTCGTCATTTCTCCGCACGAGTGACACTTCAACTTTCGGAATTCACAGACTTCACTTTCATGGTGAATAAGATCACGCTTGTTGACAATTAAACCACAGCCTTGGTTTGTACAAACGGCTGGTGTATATCCACATGTATCTTCATGGCGGTCAAGATGCTGTAATTCTACAACTTCTTGACAACCTCTGTCCATGTAAACGCAACGAATTTTTGATTCATTCAAAAAATCTTTTACCATTCTATTTGGTTCGGCCAAAGTCTCTACGGTCAGTTCATCGGCACACGTTGGACAAGTTTGAGATTTTTCCAGATGTTTCGTAATACAGCAAAGGCAAAAAGAATGCTGGTTTCTCGAACACATAACCGGCTCTTTCAAGACGTTGAAGCAAATCTGACAATGAAAATTTCGATCGATTTGGTTCACAAACCTTTCTTCATCGTAGCCTTGTATATATGAAGCCATATTTCACGTCGTTCTTGTGTCGTAATAATAAAGCAAGTTCTGTGTTGTTTGTCGCTCTGTAGTATAAACCTCGCTGTATAGACTGAATATAGATACAGTGTTCGTTCTTGAAGATGTCTGTGTTTTTATTTTCTCGAAACCCTCTCGAAAATTCACTTTCGTTTTGATCACAAAAGATCGTATAGCGTATCAAAATATTCATGAATATTAAGTGTTGCGTTTTTTAAACATCCTGTATAAGTGCGGTCATTATATCGATGAAAAGCCATTTCAAGCTAGAAGATTAAATTTTAGCAGATCAAAGATGTTTGGAGTTGTTAAGATCGTTGTTATATTCCTAGTCTTTGCAGGTACTGGAATACATATTGTGATATATATCTTTGTTCATAGAATTCTCAAGTATCACTTCGTTATTCTTCATCGCATTTTTCTGCATTTATTTTTCTAGATAATGCGGTTGAATGTTTTAAACTTGGTCAGCTTTGCAGCTCAAATGGTAGAAATTCAATCCGCGAATGTGACAGTCAGGGTTGTGGTGATTTCGGAACACCAAGGTAAGACCAGATGTAACCTTGTAACAACACAGCGAATCGACAATATTCTTATAATCTTACAAAACAATTAAATTAACGTGAATTTATCATTATACAGAGGCTCTCGTACACACAATGGTGTCGACATAATTTGCTAACCAGGGAGATCTGTCATGACACCATTTGCTGCGAAGATCTGACGAAAATCACGTTCTTATTCAAACAACAACAAACCATATAACAATGGATTGTATATTCAAGGAAGCGGAGAAGCCGAAGGTATCATCTCTCTCACATGAAGAACCAAATTCATATTAGGCACGGGAAATTCATCTTAGACAGGAAAGTTGATTGTAAAAACCCGTCTTAATATGACTTGGAATGGATATAAAATTTACACGTGTAATGGGTCGGGTAATGCTAAAAAGGGTATCGTGATTATTACGATAATAATTTTGTTTATTTTCTCAGTTAAGCGCGCCTCACACGAGAGCTGGTAGCTGAGGTAAAGACCTCGCGAGGCTGTTAGCTCAGCAAGTTACTCTCGTGTGCTGATAGTTTTTCGTGAAGAATTCGCCTCGAGAGGCAGGTTTCTATCGTGTGCGGATAGTTTTCAGGCTGAGTTAACTGCCTCGCGAGGTTGTTAGCTCAGCTGATAGCTCTCTTGTGCGGCGGGCTTTACCCTTGTTCCGTCCTTGACCGTGTTGATATTTCAGAAACTCGTCTGATTTATCCGTCTAAATGCGAATTTAAGACGAGTTTCTCGTCCAGAAGGGATTGCCGTTCAATTTAACCGTTTGTTTAGACGGGAAAGTTAGGCGGGAAACTTCTGACGAGAAACCCGTCTGTGGCCTGATTCACATCAGACGAGTTTCCCGTCTAAGATGAGTTTCCAAGAGGAGTTTCCCCTGTAAGACGAGTTTCCTGTTTTCCTTGACCTTGTAAGACGAGTTTCCCGCCTCTAATATGAATTCCGCTAAACTAAATTTTAAACTATAATGCATTTCTCCAAGCAGAATGAGTAATGAAATTAGCCATTGACTCCCGTCACCCCCCCGGGTTAGGTCTAAATGGTAATTTCATGTCGTGCTTTCAAGTAAAGATAAAAATACAATAAAAATAAAAAAAAAAGAAAGTGTAGGCACAGAATACCTATCAGAAGAACAACTCCATTGTTTTTTCCATAAGTGGTTCATCCACTCAGCAAGTACTGTAAATGGAGGATATCACCCCCCTGCCGACAGGCCCATTTTCAATATGGACAGGGGGGGTGATTCCTTCCATTTACGGTACTTGCTGAGGGATTAATCTTGGGAAGAGTACCCCCTGCCAACAGCGCCATTTTTATAATTGCAGGGGGGATTCATAGAGGTCGAATAAAAACGGGGAGTGTTCAAATTGAATAATCAATTTATTTTTCAGATATAAAATGGATATTTCAGGTGGTCTTGGAAGATCTGCTGGAAAGGTATGCATATTCACAATTTTCTTCTCCATATTCGCAGATATTCGCTCCATAATCGTAATTTTTTTCCCTGTGAAAAACCTTACTTTTTGTCATGAAATTTTTCAGATATGGCGTGTTGGTCTGATGGGGTTGAAAAGTACAAAAGATAATGTAAATCTTGTACTAAAAGCCTTCAAGGACGCGATGGAAAACGTGAAATTACAAAACAATCTGTGAGCAAACTTGAAACAAGAATTTTATTTTAGTTGACAAACCAATTTATATTAGTTAATCAGGGTTTTGTTTTAATAAAGAGTAAAACTATCTCTCCAAATCTTGTTAATTGTTAAATTTTAAAATATGACTTGGTCTGTGGCAGTCTGACAGACACAGACATCATTTACAGACAGGCTGATATTTAAAATAGGTAACTGAGCTATTTCTTGAGGCAGAGGCTCAGTTAGGATTCTTGGTCTGGGGGACCAGGGCATAAGAACCCAGGTGGGGATGGGTGGGGTTGTGGCTGAAAAACCTAGGTGGGAGGGGGGGAGTGAAACCTAGGTGGTAGGAGGGGTGAAAAACCTAGGTGGAGGGGGTGCAGAAAATATTAATTCAAATGTTTTATTTGGTGTTTCATTTTAAACCTTCCTCCATTAAAATATCTATTTCACAGATTTGTTATTGTTCTTTAATTAATAATCCTAAGAACTGACTCAATTTAAATTCAATCACAAAAATACAAATCAGTATATGTCTGACAATCAACTTAGAATGCTACAATCTATTTCTATAACTTTATGAAAATCTTATTGTTCATTTCAATTGTTCATAA